GAGGGGAGAAGGGGGGAGGGGACTATGTTTCCTTGTTGCAAACCATTCACTTTTTCTTTGCTTCTGGCATTTCTGAAACTTTTATCATCCCAGACAACCCAGATGGAAAATGTGTAAAGAGAAGCAATAAAAATCTTGAAACAGCAAAAATTGAGGGACAGCTGAAGTCTGAAGACCTTAGAAAATGTGTGCCCTGAACATAGTAAATCAAATTCCCTTTTCTTTTCAGCCTTCTGTGTTTTATTATCTAAACCTCCATGAAAACAAATAGTGCTGAGCTGTGTCCCAATTTCTCCCTCAGCAAGAGCTGATGGCAGCCCTTTCCTGAACAGCCCTGTTCTGACCGCTTTTCCCAAAGTGGAGAATGTGAGATAGATTTACAGCTATTTTACCCAGTCTTGGTATTTATATTTCTATCAGTTTCTGGCAGTCAGACTTGTGTACACAAATGTCCTCCTAAGACTTCCCTCCCTCCCCCATCTTTTCTGTCCATTTTGTTTGGTTGGAACATTTAGCTTTTGCAAATAAATGATGAAAAAAAGGAAGGGATTAGGTTTGCCTCCGGGTTTTGTGAAAGGGTTTATATATGACAGGGTACAATTATCGATCTTTGCAGGAATCCTTGCTTCCGCTTAGAGTACAATTGTCTTGTTGCATCCTGCTTAATCAATGGAGTGATGCACTAGTCAAACAAAATCTTTAAAGGATTTGCTTCCCATAGCTATCACATTTATTTGTTTATTCCCCTTGCTTCCAGTTTCACTGCAGTAAAACTGATGTGCCATTAATATATGGCAGACATTTCATACACTACACACGTGAAAAATATCCAATAACAATCCTCTTCTGGGAGTTCTTACTGACCAGGCCATGTCCTGCTAAATGTGATATTCAGAAAATAGGTTCAGGGGAACACTTTTAAAGGTGCAGAAACCATTGTTTTTCAATGAAAATAACATTCTTATATGACATTTTCAAAAGTGTCTTAAGCATGTTAGGTGATTTTAAAAATTTTATCCTGAATTCATTTGCTAGAGTTTCCGTATAAACAGCACAAGACGCTACAAAATGTATTAAAGGGAACACAGTCCAGCAGTGGCCATGGGGCCCTCAGGGCCTGCTGCGGCCAAAGCCCCACCATGGCACAGCGTGGCCCTGGCTGCCTCAGAGATAGCGCTGCCTGTGCTGCTTCTTGTGGGCCTGGCCCAGCAGGGCCTGGTGCAGGACTGTGCACCTTTGGGCAGCTCCGGGCTGCTTGGGCCATCATCTGGGGTCCAGTCCATTCACAGGGACCGCGCATTGCGCCGGGTCGCATCCTACCTCTATGGAATCAGCCCGGTCTGGCTGTGTGTGGGGCCCATGGAGGCAGGACCTGGCCCAGCATAACATGTGGTCCCTGTGAGCGGGGCTGGGCCCCAGGTTCCAGCCCAAGTAGCCCAGAGCTGCCCGAAGGCACACGGCCCTGTGCCATGCCACACTGAGCCAGGCTGGACCCACAACAAACAGCAGAGGCGGTGCTGGCTCCAAGGCAGCCAGGGTTGCGCTGCGCCACAGGGGGGACTCTGGCCACAGCAAGCCCCAAGTGCCCCACAGACACTGCTGCTACAGGGGTGAGCTGTGGCTCCTGTGGGGGGGAGGGGGCTGTGGGCCATCTGTGAGCAGAAAGGGTAGGGGCAGCTCTGATTTTTCTATGACAAACCCCCCCTCAAAATAAATGCCAAAGAATTTTATTTTATGATGATGATAAAGGCACTGGCTTCCAAATTGTTTTAAACTTGTAAATATATCAATAAAACACTGCCTAACTGATCCCTCTCTATATAGTGGCATTTCATTTGAATAGTGGAAGAACACTGTTTTGGGTATTTTAATGACAGAATTTGGGTTTCTTATCAGAGGATTTGCAATTTTTAAGCAGGGAACACCAGGATCTCTGCTGGTGAGACAAGTTGTGAGACCCATGCAGAGGAACCTATCCAGAGCCAACACTGGGGATCCAGCTGGAGGGCAGACAAGGTGGCTGACCTCTTGGCCAACTGGGGGCAAGAAGAGACAATCTGACAGTTCCAAGCAGGCAACCACAAGAAGTACATCTTCTGGGCGAATGCTGCCCAGATGGGAAAGCAGGGGCACCCCATCCAGGTCTGGCAGGCATGCAGCCATGTGACCACAGGTTCACGGGAGTGGATGCTGTCACAGGTGGCAGCAGGTCAGCAGCAGTCCGCACTGCCAGACTGCTGCAGTGGGTAGAGGGTGTAGGGGCCACTCTAGGTTAGGGCTGTTTCAGCAGTCCAGCTGACACAAGGGGCTAGTGTCCCCAAATACCAGCTGGCTGCACCGCAGAAGCTCCCTGAGCTGCTCATCACCAGCTTTTTATACTGCTGGGGCCAGCACAGGTGGTAGCCCCAGGCTCTAGGTCCCCCTGGCAGCAGGCCCAGGAGGAGCTGGACAAGGTTTTTTTGCTCCAAGTAGCACCACCTGCCCCACACCAAAGTGCATGTCCAGGCACATGCGTTGAGGCAAAAATCCCCAGCAAATTTGTACCGCTCTTATCTGAGCTGCTGCAAGCTCATGTGCCTGCATGTGTGGACGCGCCCACTAGAGGCATACAGCATGTGCATACGAAAGTGAAGAGTGGCAACACATTTTTTTACTAGCACCCCGTCAAAGTCAACAGATGACAGACAATTGCATCCTCCTTACTGAGGCTGTACTCGCTTTTGCTGCCTTTGTATGCATCTTTACATCCATGCTTGACCCAGACTGCTGAAAGGAGACGGAAGACTGAACAAGTGTGGGCACTAAAAACCCAGTGCCCTCAGGAAGTTTACAAAGGGTCTTTATGGCAGCAGTTCTCAAACTTGTAGATTCAAGGCACCCCATGTTAGACTCAGCGTACCCCTTGGAAAATGCCAACTCTTATTTTTTTATGTTTTTAGTATAGAAAATTAATAACTGTAGATTTCTAGCTGAAATATATGGGTTTATCCTGTGAATCACGTTTGCACACCTAATAGTGTTAACATCATGCAACACCCTGGTTAAGAATCACTGTTTTATGGGTTAGGGTTAGCATTAACAGCAGAACTACACTGAGGAGTGTGTCCATTCATCTACCCTGAGTAAATAATATCCTACACTTGTTTCAGAATTCTGACTAAAAAAGGCATGAAGTAAAATGGTACAGACCCATACTGAACAGGTTCCTGCCTTACATTCCCAACCCAGTGTTAGAAAGCACATTTCTAAACCAGTTACTTATTCACCTGCTCTGCGGAGGATATCCATAACACCGTCTTCACAGTTTCCCTGTTGCTTTTTAAAAAAATGCCCTCTTTCTTTCACTTAATTGCTGTGCTCTAGCACCTGCTCACATGCAGATTCCACACCTCAGGATGCATTAGATAATTGTATTATTGCAGGCTCCTCTGTTAACTAGCTCAAGATGAAACTTGTCACCCACTGTCTTCTTTCTCCATCCCTAAGTGACACTTCCACATGGTAGGAAAATGGAAGTGTGAACAGAAATGAGGCACAGCACAAAAGGCAGGGTTTTAAACCTGGATGTAATATGACAGCTTTCTGAAAGTAGCCATTTAATTTATTGATGTATTATTTAACCAAAAATTTTAACTAGCGTTTTGCTTGGCTCAGTCTTACAAAGGTGATATAATCCCAGAAAATTAATTTAGAGTATACTGTGGTGCAGTGACACTAACAAAAGGCCTTAAGTCCACAGTGCTTCTCTACTCACTGTCTAGTCTGCTGAAAGAGTGCTAACACCGCTGTTGCTACTTACCTTGCTCTCCTTTACTCCCTCTCTCAGCAATTGGATATGGCCTTGGCACATACTAAACTCATTATGTACAAATGATCAGCACCATGTGAAAAAGATACAGCTTGTATTAATAGAGTAGTAATTAGCATAACCATATTTACTCTGGCAAATTCAAACACATTACTGTAGAAAAAAACCTCCACTGAAATGTATATTATACTGTACATTCGTCACAGAAATAGTTTTGCCCAGTGCTATATGAGACAGGACTGATATATGACATCTTTTTGGCTTTGTGAATGACTGACCTTCTGCCCAGAATGACATGACAGCATTAAATTATTAGGTCATATTCTCCTCTCAGTGACAGTGGCTTAAATCTGGGGTTAGTTCCTTTAACAGTTTCTTTAGATTCCCATTACTAGAATGTTTTATTTATTTTTTAATGTATTGCCTTTTAAATCCCTATTAGTAAATTTATGCTCAAGCTCAATTTGCTGTGTTGTGTCCTTGTAGGGTTGCTGATTCACATTATTATGGCTTGTTTGTTTGTTTTTCTTTTAACTCTGTTCCCGTCATATGAACATAGAATTTCCATTTCTGAAGAATGGTTTGTCTAGTCAACCATCAT